TGATAGAATGAAACCGTGAAAAATATTTTGAGCCAATTACAGAAATATCAGAAAATTATTTGACAGCTCATCAATATCAGGAAACTTTCAGAGCAAGCTTAGTGAGATTGAATCCTTACCCTCCATTTTTTCTAACAAACTCTCAAATCCATGGTTGAGATCTCTCCAATTTATAACTAACTTTTCCATCTCCAGCTGCATATAAAACCTCATCTTTCCTCTTTATCAATTAATTCTTCAATCTCTGGAGAATCATCACAGAAAAATATCTAAAAAATCCTCCTCAAACCTTCATCAGCTTCCCACCAACCTTCAATAACATTCTTCAATCATTCATAAGAATCACTGCAAAAAGCTATGAAATTCCCTCTTCTTCTCTCATCTTCATCTTCATTATTCTTCATTCTCCTGAAAAGAATCACCAAGAAAACTCCATAAAAACTCTCTCTCTCTCTCTCTCTCTCTCTCTCTCTCTCTCTCTCTCTATCTATCTATCTCTATACAATTTTCATATATCACACCACTTTTTGAACCTCCTTCTTCATCTCTTTCACTCCACCTTCCATAACAAACTTCACTACTTCATCTATTCACCTTCATGTAGAATTTCCAACCTTCTTCTTCTCTGAACATTGATCTTCTTCAATCATCAGTGAATTATCAACAACTTCAAATATCTGCAACCTCCCTCTTCAATCGTCATTTTCTCTTCATAACCGTCATCATCTTCACCATCTCATACCTGTAAATCGTTTCCACCTTTCTCTGCAAAAACCTTCATCAATGTAACAACACACAACTTCAATATCATTAGAATCTGCAAGAACAACATCAACACGCGCAAGTCAAGATGACATCTCACAACAGAAAAATCGCGGTACAACACGCATAGAAATCCGAAACTCCGAAAGGAGAAGAAGAAAATAAAATGTAACCTGAAGTGGATCCACCATCGTAATCAACGTCACCTTGATGTCGCTGAAGGTAGGCCTTCGTGTTCATCCTTTTTGCTCCTTCTTGATACTATAAGATTTAGGTTTTTTTTTCCGAAATTGGAGATAAGAGAGGGTGTGAATCAGATATGAAGAAGTGAAAAACATAAGAAGGGGGGTTGAATTGAAAACTTGAAATAAAATACGCAATGACACAGTATTTTTATCCTAGTTCGTTTGATCTCAAACTACTCCAGTCCTCCTGTCAAGGTGATTTCGCCTCTCTCCAACGAGGACTTAATTCACTAATCACAAAAGGATTACAATCACTACTTCAACAACTGTTAAAGTATTCTTGAGTACAACCATAATCCGGTTTATCTCAAGGAAGACTATCTTAAACAATGATACAAGAATGTGTGTACAGATGTTTTTCGTTACAAAAACTGTTATCATAACTGTGATAATTTACACAAATTTAGAGCGTGGAAAGGTGATAAGTATGCTTGCAGATTTTTGAATTCTCGTGAGTAGTATTGGCAAATCATGAACGATTTGATCACTGAGCTTGTTTATATAGGCAATGGATTCCCGTTGATCATTAAGCGTGATAAATGTCATTAACTCAGTTTCCATTTGGAGAAGATCTTGTCTGAATGAAGCTGTTGTAATTGATGTTGTCTTGAATGATTAGTAACGCTTCAGAATCTTACATCCTTGCCTGCTGCTGATGCTTCAGAACATTGATGACTTGGATTATTATGATCTTGCTCGAGATCAGAGTTTACTTCACTTAAGCGCAGGTTCTGGTCATCAATCTTCAGCGCAAGTTCTGATTGCTTTAGCGTGTAGCTTCTATAGCTTAACTTCTGATGCTGCTTTGGCTAGAACTTATGCATACACAATAACATAATTTTTAGGGTGCATATTTGTTCTTTGTATTTGTTATCATCAAAACTCTAACTAAGGTTTTTAGAATCAAACTATGTTCTAACAGGATATTTGTATCGGAGAGAAGTTTGATGCATCGTCAAAGAAGAAATTCGGAGAAGAGGCGAATTTGCTTAATTCCATGGTGGCGGAAGGTTGTGTTGGAGCGAGATCAGAGAAAATAGAAGAAGAAGGTTTCACCATTGTTTAAGAGTGAAGAAGGAGTTACGTGGAAGATGAAAAGCAATAATGACTTGACCCTTATCCTCTCAAGAAAAATGCACCGTTTTACCATCTTTCCCTTTATTTATTATTTCTATTTTCATTTTTCAAGTGTTGATAAATATTGAACTATCAACATGGATATTTGCTTTGGATGGGTGATTGAATGAGCCCTAGGTTGAATCACGCTTGCAACAAGCCCGTGGATTTTTTTTGTGTACAAGTGGATTAATCTACACACAAAAACAGGCCCACTGGACCATTGCTTGGGCTTAACGCCTGTTTGCTTCTGGACACCACCTAGATTCAGCCTTGCACTCCCCTGTTCTACGCTAATTTTCATCTTGTTCTCAAAATTTTAGCAATTAGTTTTTAATGTTTCTTGTACAATTTTTGGCTGAAATTTTGTGTTAATATTAATATGTTGATTCCTGAATTGATGATAATTTTTTCATAATTTTTCTATTGTCTTAGGAATTAATTGAATTACTGCTTGATGCATGATTAAAATCAAGGATTTTAGCGCATTCTTGTCAGTTTTGTATCCTTGATTCAATTTCCTTGGAATAATAAATGGTTTAATGGTAGGTTCTGATCCTTAAATTGATGCTTGAATTATGCTTACATTTCCTTGTTAATTGCTAACTCATTTGGTGTATTTTTGTGCAAGTTTCCAATGAAGATTTCTCGCACCGTGAGACATTAGCGGAGTATTTTGCATCGTATTGTTTTGTATCTTCGTGCAGGATTATCACATGATGATTTAGATGTATGTGATTTATTTTCACGTGGAGGCTTCGACTCTTATCTTTTACATCCGATTTTTTGATTATTTGTCTTTGGCTGGATGGAACTTACTCAAAGTTTTCTGGGTTTGTTTGTTTTGCTACGAACTCTTGTTCGTTCGGTATCATTTTCTCTTGTTTATCTCATTTTAGCACTTTACTGCTTTCTAGATATCATGCTAAGTAGGAAATAAAGAGCGTGCGTCCGAAGTCTTTGTTTAAAGTCTCGTAGCCGGCACTGCTTTCTGTATGTTATTTGTGTTTGTTTAAAATACTACCTTTGAAGTAGGTATTCCACACGTGTGTTTACATTTGTGCTTACATCTATTCCCCCATCCCTTATTGAAGTCCTCAAAAGGAGGCGCGCGGAAAGGTTATGTAATCAACCCCCTCACATTCTAGTCTGTTTGATCCTTAGCTCGTGTTATACACCGATGATTCAGAGTCGTGTAGATCATGTGTATCGAGTCGGTCATGTGGAGAAGGGTTCGTAATCAACCGCCACACTTTTACAGGAGTTCGTAATGGCCGTTGCAGATACTTCACTATGCACTTGTTTGCTTCGGGTGATCCTCTACCCTTAGATAAATCATTTCTCTTGTTTCCCCCATCCTTTTGAGTCAGTATGTTCTACTCATGTTTGTGTGCTTTTTCCGAATCACTTGTTTGCTTACTTTTTTTCTATATCATGTTCCCTTAGAATAGGAATTTGTATGCTTCCCTTAGGATCAATCCATTATAGTATCTTTCGAGCTAGACATTAGGATAGGTATCCATGCATGCTAACTGTTGTACCCCAATTTTTGACCTAAGATCCCATTTTTATTTTCGCATTTTTTTAAAACATAAGCCAAGGTCACGAAATACGGTTGGTTTTAACCTCTCACCTTCGAGCTTTGACTATGCGAAGATTGTCAAGTGTTTTGAACATTTTTAGCCTATGTATCCCTAATTTCTAATCGCATACAAAGGTGTATGTTCATGTTTTCTTTTGTTTCATGTGCAGAGACAGGTCTGAATCAAGAGCATCAGGTGTCGCGCCTCAATTAAGGTTTTGAGTCTCCCAAGCCAGAAGTACGGTTGATTGTGGATTCTCGAAGACTGATTCGTCAAGGCATAACCGTTGCACCCTTAATTTCGCCCCTAATTTTTTCATTCGCACATTCATACCATATTTTGTCATTTGATCACAATCATTAGTAAATATCTTCATTCATCATATTTTGCATCATTAGTCGTATTTAAGTTGATCAGAAAAAGTCAGTTTAAATCAAAGTTTGCATCGTCTTTCAGTTGTAAAATACCTGACATTTCACTTCATGCATTTTTATCTCTTTACTCGTTTCTTGCATTGCTCCAAGTTGTTTATATGTCGATAATAAAAATATTTTGGTTTTATAGACAAACTGTTAAAAGAGATTCAACAATGTACGAAAAATTAGCGAGAAAAATATTTCAAGTTTTCACCTTTTACCGATCATTTTATGAATCTGCGCTTTGCGTAGATTATGACGGTATGCTCGCTTTATTTTTTGGTACAGTTCGAAGTCTCGTTTTTAACCTTAGACGTCTGTTTAGTCTGATATTTTATTATTATTTTATTTTTGATTTTTGACTTCTTGAATATTTTTTCTTTAATTTTTGTGACATGTAGATTATTTTAATGTGTTCATTTTATTTTTTCGGATAAATTTTCGTCCATTTTTTATCATTTTCGGTCATTTTGGGTCTTTATTTTTTTATTCATAAAATATTCAAAAAAATCATTTTAAATTGAGTTATTTTTTATAATTTCAGGTTTTATTTTATTTTTGTCATTCAGGGACTTTTTGGTCACAAAAAAATATTAATTAGGCTTCGCTTAATTCTCATTGGTCGATAGCATAATTTGCGGATTGATAGAGATTGAATTCTCATTGGTCGAAAGCATGGTTTGCGGATTGATAGAGATTGGTTTATATTGAACGGCTTGGATTTATTTTGAAATCATAATATTTCTATTCTTTTTCTATTTAAAGGCTTCATTTTTTATTTGCAAAGGGGGGACACCAACACAAAAAAGCTAACAAAACTCCCTCTGTTTCCATCAATTCCGCAACACCCAGCCGTTCAACAACAACAACAACCAGCAGCAGCATCCAAGCAACCTGCTGCGCCAATTTCTTTTCGCCCTCCGAAACACCCAAAACAGCCGGTATCACTACTACCAAAACTGCTACCATTCAAATTCCAATTAGCTGTATCATTTTTTAATCTAGATCATAGATTGCATGCATTAATTATCTATGCTGTTTTTTTTTTAGTTCATATCATCATTGTTAATTTGTGATTGTCTTCTACTGTAACATTCATTAAGCTAGTTAAATGTTGGTCTTGAACATAGTTTAAGAATATTAGTTATTTTTAAGAATGTTGCTCTCTAATTCATGTCAATGACTTTTCCTTTGAAAAAAAATATATAAAAAATATTAGTAAATTTTATATTTAGATTTAGTTTAGTATTAATTTAGAATTTTTTTTAATTAGTTTAGATGTATTTTATAACTTTAAAATATTAAGAATCATAATTAATAACTTTAGAATTTTATTTTGTTTTAGTTTTATTTTATAATTTTAGAATTTTATTTCATTTAGCAAGTTTTAGAATTTTTATTTGTTTTAGTTTAGTTTAATAATTTTAGAATTTTATTTAATTTTATTTAAGTTAACTTTAGAATTTTATTTGTTTAGTTTTGGTTTAGTGACTTTAGAATTTTATTTGATTTTATTTAGTTAACTTTAGAATTTTATTTGTTTAGTTTTAGTTTAGTGACTTTAGAATTTTTATTTGATTTAGAATTAGTTTAATAAATTTATAATTTTTATTTGATTTAGAACTAGTTTAATAAGTTTATAATTTTTATTTAGTTTAATAACTTTAGAGTTTTTATTTGATTTAAATTTAGTTTAGTAGTTTTAGAATTTTATTTGATTTAGATTTAGTTTAGTAACTTTGAAATTTTCATTTGTTTTAGATTTAATTTAGTAATTTCGGTTCGGTTCAATCTGTTGTCTGCTGTTTGTGTTTGTAGGGAAATGAAGTTGGATATGATGTTTGTTTGTACTTGTAGGGTTTATACTCGGTAGCTTTTTTGCCCTACCATGCTTTTGTATACTACTAGCAATGCTTAACTTGGGGGAATATAACTATATAATATTATCTTATGTCATATTTGCTTGTGCCTTTTTTGGTTATGTCGCTGTTGTTTGTCCCATCTAAACAAAATATACACTAATTTGTGATACATTGTTTGGTCAGCGCCTGAACGCCTGAATATATGGCATATATATTTTTTACCTATCAAGTCAAATGAACTGAGTAGTTTCTGTGGTTGCTGCTTCTACTTGCTATGCATTGTTTTGTTTGTTTCAAAGATTGTAAGTTTGTTGGTCAAAAGATTTAAAAAATAAAATAAAAATATATTAGTAAATTTTATAATTAATTTAGTTTAACGTTAATTTAGAATTCCTTAACTAGTTTAGATTTATTTTATAACTTTAGAATTTTATTTCATTTAGTAAATTTTAGAATTTTATTTGTTTTAGTTTAGTTTAATAATTTTAGAATTTTATTTGATTTTATTTTAAGTTAACTTTAGAATTTTATTTGTTTAGTTTTAGATTAGTGACTCTATAATTTTTATTTAGTTTAATAACTTTAGAGTTTTTATTTGATTTAAATTTAGTTTAGTAGTTTTAGAATTTTATTTGATTTAGATTTAGTTTAGTAACTTTGAAATTTTCATTTGTTTTAGATTTAATTTAGTAACCTTAGGATTTTAATTTAATCTAGACTTAACTTACTAAATTTTAAAGCTTTAGTTTAGTTTAGATCAAATTCAATAATACCAGATTTTTTTTTATAACCTTAGAATTTGTAATTAGTTTAGAATTATTTTAGTAAGTAATTTTTAATTTAGTTCGAATAACTTCTTTAGATAATTAGTTATATTCCTTTTTATTTGTATATTTCTGTCATTTCAATTTCTCGGTGCCTCTTTATCATTAATTTGTTTTTGTCAGATTTATTTTCTTGTGAACTTCTGAATGTTTATATTTTGATGTTCATTTTATTTTGCTTACTCCAAGGGAAATATTATAGCTTTGTTGACTTCATGTCATCAAACACATGTTATACGATTAAGCGAATACCTTCCTTCGTTTTTGTTTTACCATTTTGTTAATCAAGTTAATTTTCCTACCAATCAATTTTTAACCTCACACACTTTTTTTTAAGCCAAAACTTCGAAACTAGGTCGTCGTATCTTCAAAATCTTGTCCACACCCATTTTGACCAAACAAACCATTTTAATCAAACAAATAATTTTTAACCAAAAACAGATATTTCAAAAGGTTCCTGTGGAGTACCACAGATGCATTGGGTGCTAATACCTTCCCATTGTATAACCAACCCCCGAACTCTCGATCTCTTTCAAAAACGCATTGTATTTTTATTACTTTTAAGTATTATTTTACATCGCATATTTTAGGGTTTTATTTCGCTCTTTTCCCTTTTCCCTTAGAAATAATAAAGCGCGGTGGCGACTCTTGCTTTTTGCGAGTCAAGTTAATTAATAGCTTGATCTCCGATTTTCACTGCTACAGAATTGGCGACTCTGCTGGGGATAGATTGACCTCTTGTTGGTCCATCCCTAAGTGGGTTAAGCCTAATTTGTTTTATCTGTTTTATCATTATTTGATTGTTTGATTATATGTATATATTATGATTTGGGTGTTGATAAAGGACAAGTCCTATACCCGGACTAAGTTACACTTAGGAATAGGACGGGCGGTATAGTCATGTTAACTTTGAGGGAGTAATCCCGAAGAAGGAGGCATGAGATCCCCCACTCAGTGGAAGGCCCTTTTGAACGTAATATTTGTTTACCGAGTAATCGGGAAGACATTATTATTTTCGACCTGGGAGCCAGAGAAGCTGGGAACCGTAGAACCCTAACCCATCTTGGCCTTTTAGGGGTAGCGCGAAGATTATAAAGGAGTAATCCGGAAGTAATTGTTACGCGATGCTACGCTCGGATGAGTTTCTCTTGAGAATATTGCTGATTATTGAGTAATCAAGACGTTGGTAATATCCGAAGGAGGAATGTAGACTCCGGGAACTCTTAGAACCTTGTTCTACAGGTGTGATTAAACTGTTAGTACCTACCTTGGGGGGTGTTCCTTACCTTGACTCCATGCTCGTGACGTTGAACCTTTCGACTTTATTTGTGACCTTGCTTGTGGTTTTTGCATAGCCATGTATTCATGCATCCATAAAACCCTTTTCACTTGATTCTCAAGGAATTTGGAGGTCTTTCTTTGTAAACATCACAAGTTTCGTCAATCTCAATGGATCCTGGGTGTTGATAGGGTGAAAACCCTAATCCATCAAAATGGATGATTGATCTTGATGATAACTTGATCAACGCTTTGATCCAATCTTCATACTTTGATGTTTACAACTTAATATCTTGAGCTCCTTGAGAGTCAGATAAAAACTCTCTTTTGCATATCATGCATCATTCTACATTTTTTGTTTCACTTTCGAAGGTCTTTTTCCGAGTCTTATTCTTCCTTTAGTCTCACCAGTACAACACTCGCGCTAAGAGAACAATGGAGAATATCAAGCAAGAGATTTCTGAACTCCGCAGAGAGGTGACTATTTTGAAAGCTAGTGTGGAGCGCTTAACTGGTTTGGTCGAAATTTTGGTTTCCGCCCAAGTCAATCCTTCTAGGATGGAGGAAGCGATGATAAAAGTCTTCACTGAAACTCTAAAATCATTCTCTCATGAGAAGGTGATGGTTAATGCACCTAATGACTTTCCTGACAAGGCGAATGTGGGAGTGCGTCTAGAAGAAGATGTTGGGAAGGGATGTTCATATGAAGATGGTAGCTCAGCTAATGGTGTGAAGAAGTTTGATAATAACTTTTCCAAGAAGAGAACCATAGGAAGAAATATTCATCGTCAAAATCATCATGTTCCTCCTATTCATCAACAGAATCAGCAAGTTCCTAATCAGAGGAAAACCCAGTTTGATCCAATTCCAATACCTATACAGAGTTGTTCCCTATCCTGGTGCAGAGGAATTTGGTTCAGACCCGACCTCCACCGAAGGTTCCTGAGAAGATACATTGGTACTACAAAGCTGATTTGGCTTGTACCTTCCATCAAGGTGCTCCTGGGCATGACTTGGAGGGTTGCTTTGCTTTGAAGATTAAGGTTCAGAAGTTGGTCAGAAGTGGTATCTTGTCATTCGAGGACGTTAGTTCTGAAGTTCAAATCAAGCATGTGCCGAAGAGTAAACACGATTGATGGTCACTTTGAGTTTTGAAGGATGTTTTCGGTAATTCAAGCCCAGATGGAAAGCCTCCCTAGATTATTCACTTATTTATGCTTTTTGTAATTTTTCTTGTTTATCAAAACATTGTTTGCATATAAGAATTTGTTTGCATCTGAATGATTATTTTAATACAATGAGTATGTTTGTCTTGAAGAAATTCATTCGTTTCACTCATATTTGTTTTCAAATTTTAAATTGCTTTTGCACTATGATACCAAATTGTTGCTCATTCTCTTGCCTAGGCAGAGATCGAAGGGAGGATGATGATCTAAAGAACACAAAATCTCTGTTTGTTTGCTTTTGGATAAAATCTTGCTGATGATGTACAAGCATTGTTTCAAATACCTAAACACTGGAGATATAAGTAAGATAATCCCTTGCTAACCCCTTTTGAGCCTTTGAAGCAGAAGTTTCTTTTCTATACGAAAAAACCTTGAATTTTAGCCTGGGGCAGGGTAGTTTTAGTTAATCTGACTGAGTGTTCAAAATTCATAAGGAAGATGTTTTTTGAAGAGAAACTACGAGAGCTATCCTTCATGTATAATGAATCTAGAGGATGTAGAACCACAATGTTATCCCTCATTCATCAAGAAACGAGGCAATCACAATCCTCTCAACAAGCAAAGACAAGCTAATGTCACACATTTTGTTCAAAAAGTCAAAAATCGAGAAAAAGAAAAAGCCTGCTAAGTCAAAAAAACATGAAAACGTGTGACTTAGGCAAAATTAAGGCATCCCGCTGGACTATCAATTCAAAAGAATTAGTTCAGGCAAAAGTTAGGGAAAATAAAAATTGCAAAGAAAAGGACTGCAAAGAAAAGTCCTCAGCAAAGAACAAATTGGTGACTACAAACACGAAGACATAAGGGTGGTTTCTACTCCGAAAGCCTCGTCGTTTCCTTGACCGTCACAAAATCCTTTTGAGAGATGAACACTCATGTTGAATTAACTGAACATAGGGTTGGAGAACATCATGAAGAATGGGTGGGCACCAAATATTTTGAGCCTTAAAATCTTTTTTCTAAAAACCATGAACCAGACCACGTTACAACCTTCAAAAGTCCTAATTGAAGCAAGGTTATTTTGAAAGCATACTTCAATGAGATAGTGTTCCTGACTCCCATGAATGTTCTAAATAGTTATGTTGGTATCATATGTTTTTCCTATACAAAAATAAATGGTGCTTTAACTCGCAAAATTTGTGCGATATCTTTCAAAATCTTCAAGACTTACATAACTGTTGCATTAGAATTTTCATTCTCATAATAAACTTTTCTAACTGCAAAATATTTGTTTGATATCAAGGAAGCTCACATATAAGCAGCAATGATAATTTTATTCTTTTAAGGCTTAAAACTATGTTGAGTAATTGGAGAATCATTTCAAGAAAAAAATCATATCCAGGGGCATGTCAGCTGAAGACCTTAAGCATGGACGTGTTGCTTCTCCCAGTTATTGCTTTCCCAACTTCTTTACTCTTTATTGGGGCAAAATTTGAAGACTTTGTTGTGCCAACTACAGTTAATCCGGGGCAATCACGTCGAGATTCGATGAATCTCTCTAAGAGTTTGAAGACACCAAAGCATGGTGAATGCCAGGTCTTTTGTAAAATCCTCTTGAGACGATTTTTCCTCATCAACTAGATAGCTTGGGGCATTCTAGAAGTGAAGTTATTCGCAAGAATGGTCATGCAACATGCAGCTTATCAGCAGTAAACTTGGGGCATCCAAAATTAGTCCCAGGGGCAATCCAGATTTGTCAAGATATGTTTTGCACACATTATCAGAGGGTGGTGTTCCCAGTATCTCCAGCTAAGCATGACTTTTTCCAGCTGAAACTTTATTTGTGTTGTTATCCTTTCAATGGATTGTTTGCAATAGAAGACTGGACTTTGGGTTTTCTACCTGAAAATGTCTCCCTCTCCAAAGAGATTTAAGCCTTGTAAAAGGACCTTGCGCCAATGATGGCCTGTGTTTTATCTCCAGTAATGTTCCCATCCTGCTGAGATTAGCCGAGTGTCGAGTTGTACTATGACGTCTTATCATCTTCAGTCTATCTCCCCTGTCTGTTTTGTCAGCATATACATGACATTCGTTTATTCATTCACCCTTGCATCATGCATGCACAGTTGTATTTGTTGATGTCATTGAGTTCGTACACCTTGGTTATGTCTATTCAAATAGCGTATTTGATCTTTCCAAATAGAGTGTCAACTTAAGCATAAAGTGTGCCTTCTTTCTAATTCCCCACTGAGTTAACTCTCGTGGAAGAATCTTGCTTTAGCTTTCCTTTTCCATCTCTGGATAGGATAAATCCCCATTTGAGTTGTTTCCTCATTGGGTGGAGTCTTGTTTGACTATTTTTCTCTCCAGTTTATTCCTGGATTGAGCTTTGTCTCTTGTGAACGATACCTTGTGGATCTCCCTAGGCTGTGAAACCTAGATGGAGAGTGCATTTATTTTGCAATGTAAATACTTGGTATCCTCAAGAAGGATTTATTCATGGTTCCCCATTGAAGATGAACTTTATTCCCCAGCAGTGTTATCACAACCTTCTTCTGGAATATCGACATGACAACAAGCGACTGACTCTTTATTTGAGCAGTTTGATTATTTCTGATTTCTCTACGACAAATGGCGGTCTCTTCATGAGCAGTTTGTCCATCCCCAATGAAATTATTGGTTCTCTCCTCCAGCAATATCTTCACGATATTTTATGGGTATCTTTTTGGGAAACAGCAAGCGGCAGTCTCTTCATGAGGTAACTTGTGTGTTATGGATACTCTTGACCAACAGCAAGCGGCAGTCTCTTCATGAGCAACTTGTGTGTTATTGATACTCTTGACAAACAGCAAGCGGCAGTCTCTTCATGAGGCAACTTGTCTGTTATGGATACTCTTGACAAACGGCAAGTGGCAGTCCTTTCATGGGTAGCTTGTACGTTATTTTTTCTTTGGAAAACGACAAGTGGCAGCTCTTCATGAGCATCTTGTACGGAAAGTGGCAAGTGGCAGCTCTTCATGAGCAGCTTGTGGGTTATAAGCAACAAGTGGCGGACTCTTCATGAGTAACTTGGGTGCTTTAATATTCTTTGAAGATGGCAAGTGGCAGCTCTTCATGAGCAGCTTGTGGTTTATTGGCAACAAGTGGCGGTCTCTTCATGAGCAGCTTGTACAGAAAACGGCAAGTGGCAGCTTCTTCATGAGCAGCTTGTACGTTAGTATTTTTTGGGAGACAGCAAGTGGCAGCTTATCTATTTGAGCAACTTGTGTGTTATTGCTCCCTTGAAGACAGCAAGTGGCGGTCTCTTCATGAGCAGCTTGTGTGCTTTAATATTCTTTGAAGACAGCAAGTGGCGGTCTCTTCATGAGCAGCTTGTATGTTATTGACACCTTTGAAAGGAAGCAAGTGGCGGCCTCTTTATTTGAGCAGCTTGTGTATCTCCAACAATAATGTCTACTCAGCAAATGGCATCCCTTTCGGAAAAGTCCCGTGGGGAAGTTTGTTATTTTATCCTTTTCAAGCGATATCTTGGTTAAAGAAGAAATGTGTTACCGTTCTTGGTAAAATTCAGAAATCAGAGATGTTTATCTCCAGCCACAGTGCTGATGTCAATCGTTTTCCAATCACGGTACTGATGTCAATCATATGCTTTTCCAGTCCCAATACTGATGTAAATCATCACCTTTTCCAGTCTCAATACTGATGTAAATCATTCAAGGGTCTCTCATTTGAAGTCTATGACTTTGTTTCCTCAGTGGTGTTACAACCTTTTCCTCTGTGGGATTACTGTATAATGTGCTTGGTTTCTCCAGCATAGTCTGTCTCATATGGCGTCATTCCCCCATAAAATTCAGAGCATTACATTCATATCATATCATGAACATAATCGCGGTATCTTAAGGCCAAAAATTGTGTATTCTATATTTAAGTCCCTTCAATCTCGTCGAAATGAAGATCCCAATCTTCATATCTCCAGATAGAAGAAACTTAAATAGGGGCAGCTGTTGTACCCCAATTTTTGACCTAAGATCCCATTTTTATTTTCGCATTTTTTTAAAACATAAGCCAAGGTCACGAAATACGGTTGGTTTTAACCTCTCACCTTCGAGCTTTGACTATGCGAAGATTGTCAAGTGTTTTGAACATTTTTAGCCTATGTATCCCTAATTTCTAATCGCATACAAAGGTGTATGTTCATGTTTTCTTTTGTTTCATGTGCAGAGACAGGTCTGAATCAAGAGCATCAGGTGTCGCGCCTCAATTAAGGTTTTGAGTCTCCCAAGCCAGAAGTACGGTTGATTGTGGATTCTCGAAGACTGATTCGTCAAGGCATAACCGTTGCACCCTTAATTTCGCCCCTAATTTTTTCATTCGCACATTCATACCATATTTTGTCATTTGATCACAATCATTAGTAAATATCTTCATTCATCATATTTTGCATCATTAGTCGTATTTAAGTTGATCAGAAAAAGTCAGTTTAAATCAAAGTTTGCATCGTCTTTCAGTTGTAAAATACCTGACATTTCACTTCATGCATTTTTATCTCTTTACTCGTTTCTTGCATTGCTCCAAGTTGTTTATATGTCGATAATAAAAATATTTTGGTTTTATAGACAAACTGTTAAAAGAGATTCAACAATGTACGAAAAATTAGCGAGAAAAATATTTCAAGTTTTCACCTTTTACCGATCATTTTATGAATCTGCGCTTTGCGTAGATTATGACGGTATGCTCGCTTTATTTTTTGGTACAGTTCGAAGTCTCGTT